TGTAAGCTACCCCGAGTCCCCATTGGGGAGATTTATTTATCGTGTCATCTGCAACCAGAACATTGTATTACATTTCTAACAGAACAAAACAAACAAACAAACACACACGCACGCACACACACACACACACACACACACACATATATATCCCACAAATTTTGCAAACTTGGTAGCTGGTTAAATGTCCTTTGGCCACTTGGAGTGCCTCTGGTGTCGCCGCAAGGAGGTCCTCCATTGTGCATGTGGCAGGGCCCAGGCTGCATTGCAGCAGGTGGTCAGTGGTTTGCTCTTCTCCACACTCACATGTCGTGGATTCAACCTTGTAGATCCAGAAGCAACCAGAGATTGGGGAGATGGTGGCAGGGTATAAATAAAGATGATGATGATGATGATGATGATGATGATGATGATGATGATGATATTAAGGTTGGCTTTAAGCCCATCTTTCAATCTCTTTTCATGTCCACCAACATTCTGTTTCCCATTCTTGGGTTGGGAGTATAGTAACTGCTTTGGGGGATGGTGATCGGGCATTCGGACAATGTGGCCAGACCAGCGGAGTTAATGGTGTAGGAGCATCACTTCAGTGCTGGTGGTCTTTGCTTCTTCCAGCATGCTGACATTTGTCTGCCTGTCTTCACAAGAGATTTCCAGGATTTTTTGGAGGCAACCCTGATGGAATCATTCCAGGAGCTGAATGTGACGTCTGTAGACAGTCCACGTTTCACAGATGTATAGCAAGGTTGGGAGGACAATAGCTTTATAAACAAGCACCTTGGTATCCCTACGGATGTCCCGGTCCTCAAACACTTTCTGCTTCATTCGGAAAAAAGCTGCACTCGCAGAGCTCAGGCAGTGTTGTATTCCAGTGTCAATGTTGACTTTTGTGGAGAGGTGGCTGCCAAGGTAGATATTTATTTATTTATTTATTTATTTATTTATTTATTTATTTATTTATTTATTGTGTCATCCGCAACCAGAATATTGTATTACATTTCTAACAGAACAAACAAACAAACAGATAAAAAAACACACAAATTTTGCAAACTTGGTAGCTGATTAAATGTCCTTTGACCAGTATCTGGCCACTTGGAGTGCCTCTGGTGTTGCCGCAAGAAGGTCCTCCATCGTGCATGTGGCAGGGCTCAGGTTGCATTGCAGCAGGTGGTCAGTGGTTTGCTCTTCTCCACACTCGCATGTCGTGGATTCAACTTTGTATCCCCATTTCTGAAGGTTGGCTCTGCATCTCATGGTGCCAGAGCGCAGTCTGTCCAAGTCGCCCAGTCCTCTGTGTGCCCAGGGGGGAGTCTCTCATCTGGTATCACCCACGGATTGAGGTGCTGGGTTTGAGCCTGCCACTTTTGAACTCTCGCTTGCTGAGGTGTTCCAGCGAGTGTTTCTGTAGAACTAAGAAAACTATTTCTTGAGTTAAGTCGTTGACATGCTGGCTGATACCCAAACAGGGGATGAGCTGGAGTTGTCTCTGCCTTGGTCCTTTCACTATTGGCTGCAACTTCCCAGCGGATTTCAGGTGGTGCAATACCGGCTAAGCAGTGTAATTTCTCCAGTGGTGTAGGGCGCAGGCACCCCGTGATAATGCGGCATGTCTCATTAAGAACCACATCCACCGTTTTAGTGTGGTGAGATGTGTTCCACACTGGGCATGCATACTCAGCAGCAGAGTAGCATAGCGCAAGGGCAGATGTCTTCACTGTATCTGGTTGTGATCCCCAGGTTGTGCCAGTCAGCTTTCGTATGATATTGTTTCTAGCACACATTTTTTGTTTGATGTTCAGGCAGTGCTTCTTGTAGGTCAGAAGCCTTGCAGCATGCCAAGGTAGCTGAAATGATCAACATTTTCTAATGTTACACCATTAAGCTGTATTTCTGGCATTGGAGAAGGATTGGCTGGTGACTGCTGGAAGAGCACTTTGGTTTTCTCGATGTTCAATGACAGACCGAGCTTCTTGTATGCTTTTTGAGTTTTGTGGAGAGGTGGCTGCCAAGGTAGCAGAAATAGTCAACCTTTTCTAAGGTTGGCTTGACGTGTCTTCTTCTTGTAGGCTTGTGATTGTACCATCATACAGCTTTCTTCTCCTGTATGATGTTGACATCTTTTGTCCGAGGAAGAAATCAATGGAGCTTTGAACACTTTCATGATCTATTTTGTGCCAATTTCGTTGGATTTTGCTGACAAAAACTTCTAACGCAATTGGATTCCCCGCAATTTCTTCGTTGTCATGAGTTATTCCTCCTATGAACAGAATCCCAGTGGAAAGGAGGAAATTGCTGTCAAGCATGACTCACGGATCATGTATTCATAGTTTTGACTGCCTAGATTGGAACTCCCTCCTATCCGTCCATTATTGCATTAGCAGTGTGTTTTCCCAACTCTGTAATTTCATAATTTAAATTTTAAAAGTAATTGAATGCCAAATTAAACTCCTTGAGATATGATGAAGTGAATGGATACACTGACCATTTCTGCTAGTCTGGTGCCCTCCATATATATTGAACTGCACCTCCCATAATTCTAGAAAACGGCACATAGGAAGAGCGCACTGGTCATTCTCATCATGTCTAGTTGGCTGTGACCTAAATCCAACTGCTCATTCCAGCTAGAGTAAACCCATTCAAGCAATTGATAAATCATATGTGTAGGAGTCCCATTATCTCAGTGGGTCAACTTTAAATATGAGCAGTAATTGGGTTTACAATCTCAGAGTTACACTGCAGTTTTGCTATCTTGAAACTACAATACATCTCTGTATTTATGAATATTTCAGCCAAAATACAACCCATTTTAGGGCCCACTGGTGGCACAATGGGTTAAATCTCTGAGTTGCTGAACTTGCAGGTCAGTGGTTCAAATCCATGGGATGTGGTGAGCTCCCGCTGTTAACTCTAGCTTCTGCCAATCTAACTGTTTGAAAACATGCAAATGTGAGTAGATCAATATGTATCACTTCGGCAGGAAGGTAACGGTGCTCCATACAGTCATGCAATCATGCTGGCCACACAACCTAGGAGGTGTCTATGGACAACGCCAGCTCTTTGGCTTAGAAATGGAGATGAGCACCAGCCCCCAGAGTCAGACAAGACTGGACTTAGGTCAGGGTAAACCTGCTCATATTTAAAGCTGACCCACTGAGATAATGGGACACCTACAAGTATTTATTCATGATTTATCAATTGCTTGAGTGGATTTACTCTTACCCCCACGGATTCAAACCGCCAACCTTCCGGTCATCAAGTTCTGCAGCTCAGCAGTTTAATCCGCTGCACCATCGCGGCCCAATACCATATAAAAGTATTAATTTAAGTTTACTTATCCATGCATTTCTTGATAAAATGAACATTTTGCCCACACTCTTCAAACATAAGTTATTTTATGATGCACTTTATAAGCCTCCCTTCTTCTCTTCTTTTTATGACATGCATCAATACCCCCCACTTCTTTTTAATCATATCAAAACTGCTTGACAGCTATGATTAAAATTCAAACTTGAATCTCAAAATTGCTTACATTTACAGATCGTCTCTTTCTTTCATCGCTCCCACAACTCAAATATAGAGTTTTGGATGTCTTTTAAATGTCAAGTTTTCCTGCCTTCAAATAATAGGGCCTCCAGAAAGGGATACTTTCATCCCTAGCGAGGAGATACTCCTTGTGGGAGTGCCGCTTTGCCTTCACTTATGCCAAACTTGTATTCTCTCCATTGTTGGCCGTACTTTCAGTCTGTTCCTACTACACAGCCATAGCATTAAGATTTCATTGTATGGAATTCTGGCATTCTGGTAAAAATTCTAAAAAAAATCATCTCCTCAAACCAAGCATGAGCAAACTGGACTCATTACTGAGCCTGGAACCCCAGGTCTCGGCGGTGGCTGGGAGAGCTTTTGCACAATCAAAACTTGTGCGCCAGCTGCACCCATACCTTGGAAAGTCTGATCTGGCCACAGTGGTCCACGCTCTTGTCAAATCCTGAATAGATTACTGCAATGCGCTCTACATGGGGTTGCCTTTGAAGACTGTTTGGAAACTTCAATTAGTCCAACAGGAGGCGGATAGATTACTTACTGGAGCGTCATACAGGGAGCATACCACCCCCATTATGTTACCTCCAATGGCTGCTGATCCAATTCCAAGCACAATTCAAATTGCTGTTTTTGACCTATAAAACCCTATACGGCTCCAGTCCAGCATACCTGTCAGAACATATCTCCTTCTATGTCCCACCTTGGAGTTTAGGCTCTTCTGGAGAGGTCCTGCTCTCGGCCTCACCTCTGTCTCAAACATGCTTGGCGGGGACGAGGGACAGGGCCTTCTCAGTGGTGGCCCCTCGCCTGTGGAACTCACTCTCCGGGGAAATTATGTCATCTTCATCCCTCCTCACCTTTAGAAAAAAGTTAAAAACATGGATGTGGGACCAGGCCTTCGGGTAATTAAGTGGACAATGACAATAACAATGTTGACAATGGCTTGGAAATGGATTATGGATAAGTTTGATGGAGCATCCAACCACAGTTTCGGGCTAATAATGGCCACCAGAGTGGTAATTCTTAGTACATATTAATTGTATTGTTTTAATGTTTTAAACTATTTATAATTATTGACTGTTTGTTTTTATTATTTATATATTGAGGCATCGAATTGCTGCCGATTGGAAGCCGCCCTGAGTCCACCCCCAGGGGGTTGAGAAGGGTAGGGTACAAATATTTGAAATAAATAAATAAACAACTTCAGCCCTCCAGATGTTTTGGACTTCAAGTCCCACAATTTCTGGCCTTTGGCCCCATCCTTTTCCCCCTCAGCCACTTAAGCCATGCCCACCCTAAACGTTAAATTGCGGAATTCCATCAGAAGCTGTCATGGAAGTTAAAGTGGAATCAGAGTACTATAATTGTGTAGTATAAGTATAGCTGGGTCTTCCTGTTAAGGCTTGGAAAAACGACAGCAGGCTGGGTGTTGATGTTTGGTTTCTTACCTCTTGTCTCAGGAAGGGGCTTGCACTAAACTCGACGAAGACATCTTGGACATTCCGCTGGACGACCCTGATGCCAACGCGGCGGCTGCCAAGATCCAGGCCAGTTTCCGTGGGCATATGACCAGGAAGAAGATCAAAGGAGGAGAAATAGACCGCAAAGGCAAGGACGCCGAGTGCACGAGCAGCACCCGTGCAGGGGACCTACGCAACGGAGACTAAGTATGGCCAGGTATGGATGCAGAGCATGCTTGCTTGTGCCAGGCAGGTGTGAAATGGAACGGGTTAGTTCATATGTTTTTTTTTAAAAAAAATAATTGTTGCATTATTGTTTTATCCCACTCCTCCCCTCCCCTCCTTGTACATGCAATTCATACATCAAACTACAGAAGATACTTTTGAAATATCAATCTCAGTCTTAATTTTTCCACTCCACATCTTAGCACATTCTCTAAGTAATTCTTAACTGGTTCCCACAACCTTTTAGTTATTGTAACCTTTTCAATTTTATCTTTATGTTTCCAAATACAATTTGTTATTTATTTATTTATTTACGATATTTATATGCCATCCTTCTCACCCTGAAGGGGACTCAGAGCAGCTTACAAGTAAAAAGTAAATACAGTATATTATATTATTACCGTAGCACAATATTAATATTATATATTACATTGTACTATAACATTATACTGTAATATTATTAGTAATATTACATTTAATATAAAATATATAATTATAATATATTATTATTAGTAGTATATTGTATTACATTATAATATTATCAATATTATATGTATATACAATATATTATATTGTATTGTATTGTATTGTATTGTATTGTATTGTATTGTATTATAAGCACAGTGCAGGAGACAAGATGGAACTGCCTTCCTGGCCCCTCTCTTCACTCTGATCTCAGAGCAGTGGTTGGTGCTGGGGGGGGGGGGGGCTCCCAACAAATGACACTGGAGGCAAGATGGAACTGCCTCCATGGCCCCTCTCTTTATGCATGTGTTATTTCCACATTTAACATATTAACTATATAAGGTAAAGGTTTTCCTCTGACCATTAAGTCTAGTCATGTCCGACTCTGAGGGTTGGTGCTCATCTCCATTTCTAAGCCGAAGAGCCGGCATTGTCCATAGACACCTCCAAGGTCATGTGGCCAGCATGACTTCATGGAGCGCTGTTACCTTCCCACCGGAGCAGTACCTATTAATCTACTCACATTTGTATGTTTTCGAACGGCTAGGTTGGCAGAAGCTGAGGCTAACAGTGGGAGCTCCCCCTGCTCCCCATATTTGAACCTTCAACCTTTTGGTCAGCAAGTTCAGCAGCTCAGCGCTTTAACCCACTGCACCACCAGGGGCTCCTATACTTATATTGTGCTGGCACAACTGTGCCAGAAGCTAAATTTTCTTTTTTCTATGCATGGTTAGTTTGCACGTGTTTCTGTTAGCCAGGCATTTTGCAGTTAAGCAGCTTCCTCCAGGCTGCAGTCATAGGCTAGCAGACTGCCTATCATCGTTGGGGCTTTTGGAACCGCCCTTTTCCCCAGGTTCAGGAGGGAAAAGGGGGACAGTTTGTTCAGTCTTACAGTTTGAAGCCCAACTAGAGAACGTGTGAGTTTTTCCCTCTTGTAGAAAAGCTTCATTTCTTACAAGCTTGGCTGCGGAAGACAATTCTCACAGCTTTACTAAGAAATACAGCACAGCCCTTGTTGGGTTAAAGAAACAGATCCACAGCATTCGTGGAAAAAATCCAAAGGACTCCAGCTGGAAAATCTTCAGAGTTTTAGCCGGTAAGGTCTACTTGGGTACCCATAAAACAGATTGGAACCGGGAATAGGGCCCCACGCCAGCTAAGCCTAAAAGATAGATTGCCCAGGGAGGGGTCAAAAGGATTTCCCTCATAGAAGAAAGAAACAGTTCATGAAGCTAGTTTCCTGTTCATTGTGGACAAATTAAGAAATATTTGGTTGATTTGTTGAAGATATAAGAAGTATTTGACTGATTTGTTGCACCAGTAAAGAACTTTGTTAAACATTCCAAGCTTCTAAAGACTTTGTATAGGGAAATTCATAGGGCCTCTCAGCCGAGGTACCCCAGCGTCCCGCTGGGCACATAAAGATCAGGTCCTGTCAATAGACAATTGCTACAGGCCCAGCGTGTGACAGCACATATATAGACATATACACACAAACACAAACACACACACACTTATGCCAATTAGTGTCCATTTTGTTTTATCTTTCCAACCCTTCACTAAAGCAATTTGTGCACACGCTATTAATGTGTCAACCCATTTTTCTTTTTTGTATAATCTTCACTCCTGTTATCCTTGCATGTAGAATATTTCTATTAACTATTACTATTTGTAAATTTAACATTCTATTGATTTCTCCTTCAATCATTCTCCAATATTCTTGCATTCAATTGCATTCCCAAATCATGTGATTAAACACTCTTTGTTCATGACCATGCCGACACCTGTCCTTTATCTCTGGTAAAAAAAACAACAACCCAGGGATTGGCAATCTTGTTAAATTTCTTTATTCTAAGGTTCTTAAATCAATTTGTCCATACATATTCAATTGCCAATGTTCTATTAACGGGATCGCTGTCTCTTTCCACTTTTTGTGGATACAGCCATGATCATTTATTATTACATGGAGCCTCCATGGTGCAAGGGGTTAAACCCTTGTGCCAGCAGAACTGCTGACCAATAGGTCAGCAGTTTAAATCTGGGGAGAGTGGGTTGAGCTCCCTCTGTCAGCTCCAGCTGCCCATGCAGGGACATGCAAGTAGCCTCCCACAAGGATGGTAAAAACATTAAACATCCAGGTGTCCCCTGGGCAACGTCCTTGAAGACGGACAATTCTCTCACACCAGAAATGACTTGCGGTTTCTCAAGTCGCTCCTGACATGAAAAATATATTTAATATTATTCCATATTTCATTTCATGTTGGACATCTAAGAATCTCAAACCTTACCTGGAATGCTGTGTCCACTACTGGGCACCATAGTTCAGGAAAGATATTAACAATTTGGAACATGTCCAGAGGAAGGCAAGCAAGATGATCAAAGGTTTGGAAGCCAAACCCTATGAGGAGTGGCTTAAGAAGCAGAGTATGTTTATCTTCAAGAAGATAAGGTTATAAGGGGTGATGACAGTGAAAGAGATGTCACAGCTTGAGCTCAGTTCTGTCAACTATCAAGTCCTTTGAAGAGCTGCTAGGGTTTCTCCTTACTGTTGGGAAGGGGAGGGAAGAAACCAAGACCACACTGAATGGGATCCCGAGAGCTGTGATTGTCCAATCCCTCTCCAATGCCAGAAATGCAGCTTAATGGTGTAACATTAGAAAATGTTGATCATTTCCGCTACCTTGGCAGCCACTGCTCCACAAAAGTCAACATTGACACTGAAATACAACACTGCCTGAGCTCTACGAGTGCAGCTTTTTTCTGAATAAAGCAGAGAATGTTTGAGGACCAGGACATCCATAGGGATGCCAAGGTGCTATTGTCCTCCCAACTCTGCTTTACGCCTGCGAGACGTGGACTATCTACAGACATCACATGCAACTCCTGGAATGATTCCATCAGCGCTGCCTCCGAAAATCCTGAAAATCTCTTGGGAAGACAAGCGGACAAATGTCAGCGTGATGGAAGAAGCAAAGACCACCAGCATCGAAGCGATGGTCCTCTGCCATCAACTCCGCTGGACCAGCCACATTGTTCAGATGCCGGACCACCGTCTCCCAAAGATGTTGCTCTACTCCAAACTCAAGATTGGGAAATGGAATGTTGGAGGACACAAAAAGAGATTTAAAGATGGGCTCAAAGCTAACTTTAAAAATTCTGGCATAGACACTGAGAACTGGGAAGCCCTGGCCCTTGAGCATAGAATTTGAAGAGGCATGAATGGAGGGTGAAAGAGGGAAATGTGCCAAGAGGAAGGCGCGTCAAGCCAACCCCGACCGGGACCACCTTCCACCTGGAATCTGATGCCCTCACTGTGGGAGAAGATGCAGATCAAGAATAGAGCTCCACAGTCACCTACGGACCCACCGCCAGAACACCGAACTTGGAGGACCATCATCCTCAGTCTATGAGGGATCACCTAATTAAATAAGTCTTTGAAGGGCAGCTACGGTTTCTTCTTACTTTTGGGAAAGGGAGAGAAGAAACCAAGACCACACGGAATGGGATCCTGAGAGCTGTGATTGGAAAAAGTATATTTTCTAAACTCCAGAAAAGCCCACCTCCACCTCTTCTCGAAATTGGCAATAAAAGTAGAATAACAATAAGGTATTAAATAATGAAGAACTGGTTGTCCTTTCCGTACGCCCAAAATTAGATGTGTAATTAGATCAGCCACTCGCACCACCAGCCCCTGTTCTTTTGCTGCTTTTAGCAAGTTATCATCAGCCTGTCTTCTCTCTTCAGCTGCCTGGAGAATTTTCTCCTGTTAAGGCGGTAGCAGGATAGGCTGCCTGCCTACTTGATGGGCTGCAGGGGAGTGGAAGGAGGTGGCTGCGCAAAGCAAGAGGAGATCGAAACAGAAATAGCAGGAGAAAAAATGGGTCAGAGTATGCTTGGCCCTGGCACACTGCGTGTCAACGTTAGGGGTTAGCATCCCCTCCAAATTCTCCGTCCAGCATGGCCACTGATTCAAGCTGTTGCCTTCCCAAAAAGTAACTCTGCGACTCTTTGCCCTGTGACTCTTTGCCCTTTGAGGCCATAGAACAAAATTGCACATGTTATGGCATGTTCGCTTGAAGACTGAGAAGTTACATGATCGTGTTGGAATGTGATGTAAACTGACATTTTTAGAGATGTTTCTCCACCTCTTCTTCTCCTCATGAGTCCTCTCTTGACCTTCCAAGATGTAGCTAGGATAGAGCAGCACTCTGAGTAACTTTACTATCTTAAAATGGAGTTGTTGCAATAAAGCTTAGCTTCTTTCTCCAGGCCTTAGATCAGGATCTCTAACCACATCATCATCATCATCATCATCATCATCATCATCATCATCATCATCTTTAATTACTTATTAACCGCCCTCCATCCGAGATGCTCCAGGCGATTTACATAGCAGAAATTATACAGGATAAAACACATACATACAAATATTAAAATTAACATGGGTCAAATGCTCTAGTAAAAAGCCAGGTCTTAAGTGCTAGGATAAAATGCCCTAAGTCACGCATGGCTCTCAAATAGGGAGGC